TCTCCATAGTAAATTAATTAGGTGTCCTTCTACTAAAAGTCCCCCATCCCATTAATATTAATTGTTTATTAATGATTGTGTTTAGTTCCATATGTAATTTTTTATGTAAATGTATTAAGTGTAATGGAATTAGATTATAGACGAACACTTTATAAAATAACTAGAATTTACTGACCACTTATCTTTAATTAAGGTTTTATGTACATCTTAATATATATAATTCTTCTGTATGTATGTTTGTTAACCTACTCCTCCTGGACCGATTTGGATGAAATTTTGTGTGTATATTTCAATGGGCTCCTGAATGGTTGAACAAATGGACCCAGTAGGTGGCGCTACCGTCGGTGTGCCACTGTTCAACTCCTAAACGACAGGGACGATTTTAATGATATTTTTTGTGTATGTTCGAGTGGGGCCCTGCAAGGTTTGAATTTACAAATGGATCCGGTACGTGGCGCTGCAGTCGGTGTGTCAGTAAATTTTCATAAAAGACTCCATTTTCCGAGCAATAAATAAATTTAAAGTGTTGATTAAATAAAATAAAAATCGATGTCCGTGTGTGTGTATGTTTCCTATGGACTCTTAAAAAGCTGGAGCGATTTTGATGAAATTTTCAGGTAATCTTCAGAGTAGTCCAGCGGGTGATCCTGTGAATTTTGTTAGCGATCGGAAGTTTGGACGTGGGCGAAGCCGCGGGTACTGCTAGTATATTATAATATATTAATTGTGCTGTCTTTTGCTGTAGGTCTAAGATTTATAATTAAGGATTAACCCCTATTTTTACGCAGTATAATTTAATATACTTAGTTTAATGCTCTTATTTTACCGACAATCTCCTTCGTGTCTTCTTGATTCTCGTGACATTGGCGATTGTAATTTGTACTCAACTGGCACGCTTTGAAGCCAATACGATAAAATTGAATTGAACTGAGATTTTTATACAAAAATATCATCCAAATTTCTGACCATTCCCGTAGATTTTCTTTCATACACAATTACGAACATATCAAGAAAGAAAGAATTTAACCAAATCGGTTGAGCCATTCTCAACTGTTGCAAATGGCTTTATATATTATACATAATATATTAAATAGATTTTTATTTATATTGATATGTATTCATTAAATACATAACTAAGCTTCTTTTCAATGCTAACATACAGTTGTATTCCACGTTTTACGCAGTCCCATATAACGCGCGATTCCATAAGACGACTATTGATTGTGGACTAAACAGAAAACGCGCTAGCCTAGCAGTAGACACATAGTAAGTAAATATATCTTTCGATAATATTGTAAACAATTTATTATAGATATTATAATTATTAACAATGAATATTTTACTTTTGTTGTAGAATTAAGTGTTAAAAAGTATTTCCATTCTTCTTCGAATCCAGCGTCCACAGCGTTAGGAGGAAATGTTATAGGAAAGCTTGTTGATGAGCTAGATTCTTTACGTTGTTGACTGAGAAAGGCTTTCAGCTCTTGTTCGGCTACACTCTTTACCGTTGTGGTGATTAATTCTGAAAACATAATATGAAATGTTCGCTATATCAAGACATGCTTGAATCTGAGTATATATGTTATTATAAGGCCTTATCTACACTTAGATTATAAAGAAGAAGTGTTTGTGAATTGTATATAGGAGAGAATCTCTAGAACTACTGATTGAATTATATTATTTCTCTCAATGAAACGAAAGTTATAACCTTAATATGTGAAGCAAAAACTTTGCACTCCTTTTTACGAAAATTGCGCGGACGGAGGAGTATGAAATTTCCATGCTTATATAAGAGTGCAGAATACTAATATTTTTTTAAAATTATGCATAAAAAATACATTGAATCAATAAAAAAAACTACACACACTACCATGTATTTAAGACACACACACGCATATATGTATACTTTTTTGTTTGTTGGTAAAGTCAGTGGTCAAATTTAGAATTATTGTATTATTAATACATGAAGTAAAAGCTTTGTATCCCTTTTTAGGAAAATTATGCGAACGGAGGAATGTGAAATTTGACACAGTTAAAGTTTAAATTGAGATATAGTCTAGAAAGCTAATATTTTTATATAAAATACATTATAAATACATTAAATTAATTAAAATAAACATTTTGTTTGTGAACCAATCTGTTGTTTGATTAGCTATTGACGAGCTTTAGTTTTATAAAAAAAAAAAACAATAATAATCATGGTCGAAGTTCGACCACTCGGCGAACTCTAGTATCCATTAGTAGGCGAATAGTCAAATGTAAAATAAAAAACCGATTATGCCATACAACTTATCAAATGAAAGTGCTCCTTACGTAGGGTACAAATGTTAACCTATATATTTTATTAATATCAAAATGCTCTATTGAGCATTTTCATTTTCATTGAAATAAAAAAAAATTACTCTAAATCAATATTTTTTTAATCGTGTTCCTCAAAAGTTGTAAACAAAGCCCTCTCCTTTTTTGTATGTCCGTTTGATCAAAAGCATCACTCGAGAATAGTTGCATAGATTTTCAACCGACTTCAAAAAGGAGGAGGTTCTCAATTCAAAGTTTTTTTTTATGTTTGTTACCTCAGAACTCCGTCATTTATTAACCGATTTGGACAATTTTTGTGTTGTTTGAAAGTGTATACTTCCAGATTGGTCCCATTTAAATTAAAAAAAAATAACCCCTAAGGGTGGAAAAATAGCTAATGATGAATTTAACCTACTTCTTATTGTCATATTGACTTGAAACTTTGCAAGTGTCTCTATTTCCGTTGATAGTACAGTGGTTCGGTATTGTTGACCTGATCTGATGGTAAGGCCGGAAGGTGGATAGGTGGAACTCTTCAACGGCTAATAGTAGATAATTTGAGTTTGGGCTTATTTTGGTTGATTTGACAAGCCTAACACGTTAGAATTCTTACTTTGCTACTACTGTCTACACTAAAAAGGGAAAAATAAAAACTTTTAACAAAAAAATAAAAACCGACTTCAAACAAAAGCACTAAAAAGTAATAAATAAGTGATTGGTAGTTTTCATTTACTATACATACCTAATCAAATATTTTCGAAGTCGGTGTGCTTTGGCTAAGTAATTAAAGCCTACCCATTAAATATATACCTAATCAAATATTTTTGAAATCGGTGCCAGCCCATACAAAGCAAATATATGTATATATATATATATATATATATATATATATATATATATACATATACATATACATAGGTATGATACTACTACCCACTAAAACCCAACAAAACCTTCCCCCGTCTGAACGGGGCGTCGCAGGATCGCTTACGCATTCAACTACGACGCCCCGACGGCAGGTCTGCCGAAGCAGACCACAACAACTATGGATTTGCTCCAAGGTCCACTCTGCTATCAGAGAAGTATCAGGACCAACCTGCATGGTACACCGCCCACCGAAGAGGGCCACCTCCCACCGTCCACCGAAGTGGGCCACCTCCCTGTGCGTTTCTTAGCTTCGCGGCCGGCTGGATTGTCGGGCACTACTGAGCCAAAACAAACTACGACAAAGTGAACGCACGTTGGGGGGAACCTATGTATATATATTATATACATAGATAAATATATACATATATTCATAGACTATATAGTCTATGTATACCATACTAATCGTTATAAGGTATCTACTATCTAGGGATGAACCCGGGCAAAGCGAGTGTGAGTCGCTAGTAATAATCTAAATCGACAAGAATAATAGATATATTATAATTTATAAGGTATGAATGAGGTAAAGTAAGAAAAATCTTAAAATTATTTTGTCATCAGCTTTCATAAATTCAAAAGTAATTTAAAGGTATATGCGTATATATAAGTGTAATTTTATCCGTTAGAACTCTCGTTACACGGTGGGCGCACTTTTCGTTGCATACTAAATTACATCAAGGCGGTCCAAATACATAGATATATCTTTCCGACATACGATAAATTTTATCGAGGTCAAATTAATCGAATAATTTTAAAGTGAAAAAATATATTTAGGAAATGCTTCGTTTTGAAATAAAAAAATATGAAATAATACAAATTGTCAGCTTTCTCTACCGATAGTAATGTTAATTGTAGTTTATTATAAAGATTTAATTGTGTCATTCCTTACTACCTTAAATTGCTCCCATTTCCCCCGCGGGGTGGTCTTAACTACCCCATAGGGTATGGGATCAAAAAGAAAGGTAATGTTTTTTGTTTTCATTCATATTTCTAATAAAACGATGATCTTTAAGATTTTCTTTTTTAATAATAGATAGATAAGAATAATAATAATAACTTCTTTATAATATTAGTATTATAGCCCAGTCAATTGGTAGTTTTATCTGGAAAGTTATCCGGGAGTTTTGAAAATTGGTTATTTTATATATTTCTATGTGCTCTTTTCGAATTTCAATTTTGCCACCTCGTATTTTTGCCGCTCGTGTCGCTATATTGAAAAAATGGCGCCTTATGGCAATTTTTTGTCATTTCGTTTTTTTCGACATTCTCCATTCCGACAAGTTTTCTGGTAAAAATATTTCTATACCTAAAAACATTTTTGTACATAAACTAAAGAGAATTTCCTACAATTTATATAATAACATTTTTTTTGTAAAATCAATAGTTTTGGCGTATCAACGCCGCAAAGTGTACTTCAACTCGCGTTTTGGCTAAAAAAACTCATTTCCACATCACTTTGGGACAGACTAAGTAACGCGTTTTTTATCGTAGTATCCTATCCCAGTAGGCCTAGTCCACATGCAATGCACTATTACAATATTTAGCGCATAAGCGCGCACGCGAAAACTTTCCAGGTAACCTCTTTTTTGAGCACCAAATGACTGTACTAATAGATGTGTAGCGAAAAAGTTTATTTTTTCCGTAATTTGATAGCGGGCGAAGCCGCGGGTTCTGCTAGTATACAATAATATTTTATTTTATTTTATTTTTATAAATATATAAAATATATATATTTTATATTAATAATAAACGCTATAGGATTTAACATTGTTTTATTAAAGCAGTAAACAATCGCATATTAGAAGAACACTTATAAATATTATATTTGAATCGAAACATGCACATCTATTTTCAAGTAAGGAAACGTCAATATAATCACAGACAATCTCATCCCAATTATTTGTGAGATCTTGGATACTGCGAGCTCCAGACACTAGCTTATGTCTCATAAGCTTTTTAGCTTTGGCGACTCTCTCTGAACTGTCCTCAAAAATTTCTCGTGCACGCATCTGTATTTCATTGTGAGGTTCAACCATAACTATTGTTTGCATCTTAGGAGTTACTTGCATTAAAACGGGTGGTTTTGTCGTCCACGTCACATTTCTTACACTTTCTTTTTTTAGGGATTTCCTTAAAATGGATAACCTTGATTTTTCTGCTAAGGATAAATGCGTTATGTTTGATGTTTGATTTCCCTCTTTTCCGATACTGACTACGGTAATTTTAATGCGATCTGTTCTTTCTTCAGTTGTTGAAACTTTTTCGGTCACTATTTCAGTAGTTACGAATTCGTTATTGACACGGCGATACAACATGTCTTGTACAGGTCGTAGACTCGAAGTCTCTGTTGCACTTGCGTCCACTGGGCACACACAAACCTTACCGTTAGACTTCTTTCTTATTATTTAAATGAAAATATTTTTTTCATTAAATCATTAAAGTCACGCAAATATAAAACAATCAACGAAATTGATTATTTTACAAGTTAACGCGTACAAATATAAATCTTCATTTAATAGATTTCATAATTACATTTTAAAATATAGAGAGAAATAATTGCTATATTTACCTGTGGTCCTTCGCAATACTTCTGGTATTTTTTGTTTAATTCTATTAATCCTTTTCATATCATAATACTCGTCGTCTTCTGCATAATCCTTAAGGTTAAATTTCTTCATCTTGTGAACATATAAAGGATCTTTTTCAACCTTCATTCGCCGACGTCCATCGATACGATGTTCCAAATTTTCATCATCAAATTTTGCTTTTATATTTTCTTCATCATCAGAGTCATCTATTTCTTTTCTTTCCTGACTTATTGTTCTATCTCGAACCTTTCTTCTTATCACTTTCTGTGTTGTGAATCTGAAATCAAATTCTGGTTCCACCTTGTTATTCTTTAGTATTTTTTTAGGATATTCTATTTTCACATCTTCACCGTCATTGTCATATTGCGTTTCATAATCATTATGCTTTTTATTTCCACTGTTCATTTTTTGTTTGGTCCGTGACCGATGTTTTTGAAAACGGGGATTCGACTTGAATTTAGTGATTAAATCATTATTTGTGTTTAAATCCATCCTACCGTTACTTAATTTTAATATTTCCTTCTTTCGCTTAAACCAAGAGTCGTCTTCTGGTTCAATTGAGGCTACTTTATCTGGGGAGAAGATAAAACGTAAACTTAAGCTGTAATATGTATACAAAAAGTAAATTACTTAAATCACTTGAAAATTTTAAGTACCTTGAATTGAATCCTCTTCATACCGATAGTCTAAAGATTGTGCAGCATCTGGCGAATGGTCTTTATAGTCGTCTGATAATGGCGCATTCTCCGGGTATTCCACGTTATATTGCGGCATTTTTGCTCCTGAATAATCCCCATAGCGTGCCGCCCCAGCAGACGTCAAACATATCAGCAGGCCGACTAACCAGTTCATATTACTACTGTTATTATCGGTATTATTTAACCGCCAGTATATTACGGTTTTGTGAAAAAAAGAAATATAACAACATATTTCAAGTTGTAACTACGAATTTGACATTTATATGTATGAGGCACCTGCTACCTGTTTAGAAGTTATTTCTTTTTTCTATAATATGCCAGCATCTCACTTATTGCTTATAAGATATGATCTTAAAAAACATTACAGGAAATAGTTATTTTTTTTTAAGAATATAATATTATTACTTTATATTAAAATTTGCATTGCGTTTTAATCATACCATAATATTTTTTTTAATATTAGACTATAGCTACAAATATGGCTGGTTGAATATAATAATTCCCCTATCAATATAATGTAATCAACAAAAAATATTTCTTTATTATTGGCATTTTTTTGATAAATTTACAAAAATGATAAATATATTATAATTAAAATTTTATAATAATAAAATTTAACCTTCATATCTAAAATGGAGTAAGAAATATCGTGATGGTTGGAAATACAAAAGAGAAGGAGTGTGAAGAAAAGGACCCAAAGTGGGATTGCCCTTTGGATTGCCCTCCTATTAAAAATGTTACGCATCCATTGGTTGGTACTCTTTCCTTTGCAATGAAAATTAAATTTTTAGCGGAATCTCAAGATAATCTTTATGAACAATTTGCTAAACTTATTGTAATAAATAATAATATACTGAGGGGAATTCCGTTAAAATCAAAATAATAAAAAATATATCTTCTAATAATTATATACCTAATTTTTCTATTTGTCAGCGTTTTTATGAATTCACACCAGAAGAAATGAAAGCTTTAGAAGAATGTGACAAAGAAAGTTTTTATCAGCGTTGTTTACCCTTCAGCACAGTGTTTGCGGCACTAACATACGTGGGGGTAAAAAATGGTGAGACACTGAAATTGCTTTTATTAATTAGGTGAAACGTTTTAAAGCACATATTACGAGTATACATAAAAACACGTAACTTATTTCAAATTTCACGTTCATGTCTATGAAGGTACAGTACATAATATTTTCTTTATATTTTTAGTATAGAATATATTTTTAGAATAACTTACTTTAACAATAATCTTATAGTAATTTTAAAACCTTATGTCTAATACTCCTTTATCATTAGCATAGCATCCGTAATTTAAATTAAAAACAAGAAGTGTCTAAATGAAACTACAATGGTCTACTTCTATTAACTCCTTTTTTACTGCATGTCTTGTGTTCATACATACTTGGATGGATTGATTGATCGATTGATGGAAATGAGTATAAGAAGGCTTAATGTAGAAACAAGCGCAAATATTAGTATTATGTAGTTGTAAAGTAACCGGGGACTCCTTATCGTATTTTGAAAATTAACTATCACGATTATGTCGAATGTAAAACTTGTAAGGACGCCGCAAAAACATCATAGAAGTAAGAATAGAAATTTAATAATTAGGTGTTTAACGTAATATATTATGATTATTTGAAAATTATTATTTTTTGGTGACATTACCTCCAAGTTCTTACTTCTGGGAATGTTTTTGTTTTAGGCTTCCTGAAAAGAAGTCCACATTTTGGTGCTGTGCCCAAAGTATTGTTTGCGGCTTTCATCGGACACATCTATGGACGTTTATCGTATATCCCGAATTGCGAAATTAAGCTGCGTCACCTCCCTGACAATAGTCACCTTGGCAATGTTATGCGAAAGTATCATTTAGAAAATAACTCACCAAAAGAACCTTAAGTTCCCAACCCAAAAACAAAATAATTATTTGAAGGAAATAAACCAAAATATAATATATTTGACACAGATTTTTATTTCTGCTGTCCAGTTTTTACATTGTTTTTTAACATCCTACTGCTAGGTACAAGCGTACTCTCAATGTGATAGGGATCAGGCTATGGTCTATAACGCTGGCCAGATGGACTTGCTTAGATAACTAGTTACTTTCTAGATAAGATATAGGTTTCCACAATTTATTTTCCTTCGCCATTTTAGCATTAAATTGAAAGATTATAATAGTTAATCAACTTTAATTGTATCGGTTTCTGAAATATATTTGTTTAAATAATAAAACAACAATAATAATAATCTTATTTTAATTTAACAATTAAATGGAAATGTTGGACTAATTATAATTGTAGCATAATCACCCGTGTCCAGTGCCAAATAAATTCGCTGTCATATGTCAAGTTAAATGTCAGATAATATTAAAAAATCGCTCCCAAACGTATTCACATTTTAGCTTATTACTATCTTTAAATCAAAGTTAAACTTTATTTAACATAATAAAAATGGGCGATTCGAATACATATGGACATGAAGAGGGAGTTCCAGTCGGTCCTCGGCCGCCGGTAAGGTTATGTTACTGTATTATTTTAAGGCAAATATTTTATTGTGATACCACAACAGTAGATTCTAAGTATTTATCATTCAGACGCCGTACAAATTCTCTCAAGATGAACTTCGGGTCCTTCAGGAATGTAATACGGAAAGCTTCCTACAACGGTCTTTACCGCTGGGAACCGCGTTTGGTCTTAGCGCGTTATTCGGCGTTCAAAAAGGTCAGTGTTTACAAAAAGTACCTACCTACACATTTTTCTTAGAAAACAAAATTACATAATCAAATATTTTTATTTTCCGATAAGATTTTTACATGTTTTTTACTATGTGAATTTTAAGCATTGCTATGTGGCTTAAATGCGTGATATAGATTATGTATGACCTAATTTTTGTTTAAGCTATTTTCATTTCTTTGATGATGTACTAATAAAATGTAGTTTTGCCATGCAATGAAATTGTGTTACATAATACAAAGCTGTATTGCATTTATGTGATTGATATTACATATATATTTAATTTAGCTTTCTTTATGTTGATATTTTAATACATTTGCAAAGCTGAGTGAATTCTTGAATTTTGCAATAATTTTTTTACATTTTTGAGAAATTAAGCTAAGGCGAAGTGCTACGCATAATAGATATTATTAGTAAATATTAGTACATATTAACTGATTTCAAAAAAAAGAGACTCAATTTAGTAGTATCCTTGTCAATTGTGAACAGGATATTTGAATGAATTTTCTTATCGTGTTTGAATGATAATTTTCATAACTTATTTTTAGTATTAGGTGGGTATAATTTAATGGCGGTCTCATATAAATTTCAATTTAAACAATTTTGAAGCTAGATTACTATTGTTGTTAAAGAAATTTTCTAGGAAAGGATGCACATTATATGATGATCTTTATACGTAAAATAAAGTTACGTTTGTTACAACACTTATAACTTGAGAACTGCCGATTTTGATGATCTTTGTTTTGTTAGATATGTCTTCACCCCAAATAACAGAATTAAAACATTGAAAAAATTCACAAAAAATTAAAAAAAAAACAATTATTCCATACTTAGGAAGGAACAGACATAACAAATGTGTGGCCAGAAGTCTTCTGTATTATTTGAAATATGATTAATGAAAATAGATATCTATAACCATTTTTACACCATTATAATATTATAATTTTCATTACTGTTATACATACTTTTTTTACATTCCACCTATAAATTCAAATTGGTATAAAAGTCAGATATTGGCCGCACATTTGCCTTTACTCTGTCAATTTCATGACAGTATTGCTCAGTCCATTCTCTTTGTCTATACATAGCCCTGGGCTGTAAGGTTAAGTCATAAGCCCTTTCCACTGTGTCTAAGCAAAATCAGATTTACAACGGTGAGGGCAAAACTTTAAAAGTAACCTAAACCTATGGGCATTTCTTTCTATACCATATATACATTTGTCTCATTAAAAAGGTGCATTTGCACATCATCAATGGATGTGAAAAATTATTATTAATATATTATGTACTTATTTAATTAAAAAATAGAGTATTTTACAAAAAAATAAATGTTTTCAGGTCATTTGAAGCCAAACCCGCGTTTTGGAGCAATACCCAAAGTGACTCTGGCAGTTATAGTGGGCTACTTCTTAGGCAAGTTGTCATATCAACAAGCATGTGCGGAGAAACTCATGGCTTTACCTAACAGCTATATAGGACAGCTGTTGAAGGAAAAGAAGGAAGGAAGAACAGGGTTTGTTGAGTTATTTTTATGATTATATCCATCATCCCGGCAAGCCAGATGCTGGTGAGTGTCAATTTTAGGATGTTCTGGATCATTCTTATACAAGCTTTTAGGAACATTCTACGAATATCACATAAATATCATTATATATTATACCACTACAGTTTTCTATTAGAAGGCTGGTGTAAAATTCTCATGGATAGCAGAGTGGAATTACCATACATTAAATTTAAAAAACCATTGTGTGATAATGGTGGTTTTCATTACCTAGGAATTCATTGTCTATACTGGTAAAAAAAATTGAAGTGTCTGTTTGTGATGTCAAAATAGTTTTTACTTAATGCTATATGATATTATATACAGTACTTCTAAGAAAAATTTCAATTTTTAAAGTTTTTGTATCTGTTTTGTAAGTGCAAATGATATTATATACAAGTAGTAATACTAATAAGAAAAAACAATTTTAAAATTTTTTGTCTGTCTGTTACTTCCGGCTAATCTCCGAAATGGCTGGACTGATTTTGAAGGGACTTTCACTGGTAGATAGCTGATGTTATAAGGAGTAACTTGACTACTTTTAAAAACAGAACCTACCTAGGGACGCATCCAGCGAAGCGAGGGTAAATCACTAATACATTGATAATGAGGAAATCAACTTGTAACCAGTCACCTTTAAGATGAAAATTAAGTAGTTATGGCAAATATTTGACCATCTTCCATTATTTTATGTGTTATATTAATTCTCTACATATAATTATGTATGTGTGTTATATCAATTACAGATTTCCCCCAAAGCGTACACCAACTATGTTTGGAGTGACTTCAGACGATGTCTACTCAGATGCAGGGCCCGGGAGCTCTCTTGATTTAGATACTGACCGTCCACTGTTTAACGACGACTCATTCAGGCCAGGAAGCGATGGTATGTATTGATTATGTTTATAATTCATGATAGCTTTCTAACCAAATTAATTTACACAGGGATAAGTACTCAATGTTAATAAAAGTTAATATTTCTATGAACAGATTGAAATAAAACAAATACTAAATGTTAAGTGAAGCTTACCACAATGCATTAATGAAAACTGCACCCAAATCGGTTATGCCATTTCTAAGCACAGACAAAAAATCTAAAAGTCATTGCTACAGGTTGTATTGCGTTTTTAGAGACCTCCAATAATAAGGTTGTTTAAAATAGTGTATTAAAATATCTTATGTCACAGGACCAGCACATCAATCGCCAGACGCAGTTACTCAACGGCCTATCCTTTCGTATGAGGAATTGCGTAGGAAGAACCGTGGAGAGTACAACGATGCACGTCAGGATCCATACAAGTATGGGTTTTTTTCTTTTTTTTTCTTGTTTTAACATGTTTTTTTTAATCTGGAATGAGCCCCAAAGACTATGTTATTTTGGTAATTATTCCCTTTTTTTACTACTGGAAGTTTCTTCATGTCTTTGTATTGAATGGACTTCACATGTCCTTAAAAAACTTGCTAGGTTCTCTCAGACATGCAGTTTTCCTCACGATGTTTCCCTTCACCATAAGACAAGTGGAAATCATGTTGGCAATGATTCGGACACGAAAATATCAGAGGTGCGAGACCCGGGATTTGAACTCACTTCACTCGGTTTCCCAAGATATCGCGTTACCACTGGGCTGCCACTTGCTCATAATAAATACAAATATGTAGTAATTTTTAGTTATGGCAAATAGAAATAATATTTTTTTTATATTACATTCAAACATTTTATATCGTTACTTTGTGACATTTAGTACAGATTTCTCAGATGAGTTATTTTTCAGAAGTGAAAATTATCCTATATGTTGATCCGGATAACCAGCTATCATCATATCAAATTTCATCAAAATCTGGTTTTCTTGTGATGCGTTCCCAGACAGACAGACAAAATTTCTAAAAGCTATAGATTTGGCCTCTGCATCGGTAATGACTATTTCCATAAGATTTTCCATATAATATTATAAGTAAGCGTCATAGCTTTTGCTTCATCGCATTTAGCTGTTTAAAATTAAATTAAAAAAAGAACCTACATTGTAAAAAGGAAAGAGTTCTTTTCTTTTTTTGTCACATATAAGACTTTGTTGGTAAAATATTACTTATATACTACTACTACTAATACTAGTTGCTAGCCCTTTTTTGAACAAAATGACCCCGTCCTAAGAAGCGTATAAGAAACTCGGCGCGACTATTAAGCACCCTCCAATATTGATTTTACCTGACATTTTAAGCAAAAAAAAAAAACAATATTTTAAATGCCACATATAAAAGTTATATATATATATATGGAACACTGTTTATCCCAACTTGAAGCCCTTTCACGCTTGACCGGATTTTAAATAAATGTATATATACACAATAAATATAATATCTATTTTCAGAATTGATCCGATTCCAGTACCACCGGTGACTAGAGCGAAGCCACAACAAAAACCCACAAACCAGTATGGAGATGTTATGGAATAATGTTAGGTAAACATTACATTAGGATACGTTTTAATACAAATTCTATTATACACTTATTTCATACCAGACGTTGAGAATGGACTGAGCAATACACTCATGAAATTGACCACTCTCTAGAAAGAGAGAAAGCGAACGTGCGGCCAATACCTGTCCTTTATTCCGAGTTGAATTTATAAATGGAATGAAAAAAAATTGTAATGGAATGTAAAATGGTCCTAAATATCTATTTTCATCAATCACATTTCAATCAATACAGAAGTCACGTTCTTTTTGTCTCTGTCACTTTTCCGCCGTTTTCAGCTGACGGCTGGCAAAGAAAGAAGGCTGGCATTTAGTCCACTCTCCATGTCTATGTTTCTTACAAATTGACCCGACATATTTTCCGTCAAAATGTTAACTGTTATTTTTACTTTATTGTGGACATACTAAAATTTTATACAGAAATAAGTATTTTCAGTTTTTCCTAATTTTCTTAATTTTTTAAACCAAGAAAACTTTACCATATTTCGTTAAAACCTTTATTTACTTAACTATTACAAATATTTAAAAAATATATATTCATATTGATTCGGCTGTTCTCTAGTGATGTGTTTACCAATGAATATCATTTCTTTGTTGTTATATAAGACTCGTATATAGATACTAATTCTAAAGCCTGCCTTCAATCTGATAATGTACAGTTTAGTGCACAATCAAAGCATTTGATAATCATGTATTCATAACAATACTTAAGAAAACTTATTATAAACTTGCTTCCCCATACAAACTTTCATCCCCATTTTCACCATCTTAAGGGATGATTTCTGGGACAAAAACTATCCTATGTGCTTCCCAGGGTCTCAAACTATCTTCTTACCGAATTTCATCTGAATCGGTTCCTTAGTTTCGCAGCCTATTCGATACAAACAAAGAAACAAAAAAACAAATACCTCTTTATAATATTATTAGAATAGATTGTAATATATACAATATACATATATGTATGTAATGTGCCATTACTTGAACTCCTTTCCTAACTTTTTTCAATGAAAAAATTTAACGGACAATTCAATTTGTTATATTTATTCATTTTATTAGGCTGCAAAGTATGTTATATATTCAGGTTAAAGAATTATGTACACGGAATCGGCCAAAATAAATGTCAAAAATAAATCATGTATGTTGTATGGGAGCCCCACTTAATTATTTATTTTATTCTGTTTTTTTAGTATTTGTTGTTATAGTGGCAACAGAAATACAGCCTGATGACAGATGGACAGTTAGACGGACAGACAGCGGAATCTTAGTAATAGGATCCCGTTTTATCCTTTGGGTATGGAACCCTAAAAAATGAGAGTTATGCCACTATTGTTCTGACACTCTAATATTACATGTTGCATGGAATAGATTTCACAGTTAAGAGCCTATGTTAAATATAAAAAGCCATTAAAGTTAATGGCTAACACAGCATGTGGACGTAACCAAAGTACTCAGTAAAAATATTATTTACTAGCGACACACCCTGGCTTCGCTCGGGTTCGTCCCTAGCTTGATTCCCCATACAAACTTCCATTCCCATTTACACCCCCGGGATGATTTCCGGAATAAAAAGTAACCTTTATCCATCCCAGGGTCTCAAACTATCTTCTTACCTCATCTAAATCGGTTCAGTGGATCCAGAGATTACCCCCTACAACGTCACAACTCACAAACTTTACCTCTTTATAATATTAGTATAGATTAAACTCGACATGTATTTTATGGTTTGTATGTATCATACAAATATCGCTATCTGTGTGTAATTTGTATATGTATGTGTGTGTAATTTATTATATTTATTCAAATTATATATATTCGTTTCTTATTTTATTATTGTTTTACATAATTTTTCCCTCAATAAAAAAAGAAATACGAGAACTTCCTTTATTATATCACTATGTATTTTTATGTACAATAAATTATATACATACTGATTATTCGGGTTGACTTTACTGCTTTTTCTGTCACCTATAGTTTTTATTTAAATTACCTCATAAGAGGTTAAATTAAAAAAAATGTAAAACAACATATATGAATGCCGATATTATGTATTTTGAAAAGGAAAGTTTCCTGAGCATTTAATTACAAATACTTTGTTAAAGTAGTACATATTGTTATACATAGAAAGCGTTTTAAAGTAAACATATAGTTACTAAAACATCAGCGGGGCTATCTAGGATAGTGGATAATCACATTCTATCTTATTGGCATGTAGAATATGTGACATTAAAGAAGAATTGATGCTATTAAAAGTTACAAAGAAATTAATTGTATTGGACATCTGATTATGTAAAATTACCCAAAGGGCACTCAAGTATTTGTCAGATACTAGATAGCGGGTTGCAAAATATTGTTAACTGGTTTCCACACAATGTGCCATATCGTCGGCCAAATTCGTTAAAATGCTAAGTGTGTTTCTGCATACTTTACAGTATGAAGTAAAAACTGAATTAAGTAAATCCTTTCATTTTTACAAATTAAAATTCTGAAAATGCCATTGGTTCCTTGATATTTTTGAAGTTATACTTCTTTTGGTACGTTTGAAAATAATTATGAGAGTAAAAATTTTACGACAGCCAAAAAGCGACATGATGAAGTTATGGACTAAGATCCCACTGCAAGATTGCTACGTTCATAGCTTATTTAATTGAAATCATTTTTTTATATACAATAATAAAAGGGACAATATGTTTAGACCGGGGTGCTTATTCAAATGTGCCCGCTAGTATGTTTAATTAACTAAATAATAGTTGACTTTTTGGAATAAAAACGATGCATTTGTTATTACGATGAATTATACTCCACTTCACAGAACTATACGTAGAGAACTTGAAAAATGATAGCTGCTGTTGCGCATTTGGCCGCAACCTCTTCGCAGCCAGGTGTAAGCGTGTCATATTTTGGGACGTTTATACGTTCATCGCGTATGTTCATCATTTATATATCAAATTAAAGCTAATGTTTTTCTGTATCTGATAAACTACGTCTGCCTATGTAATAGTGGCCGCAAAAGTGGTTGCGAGTCATTAAAAATGTTTTTGTTACATTTATACGTAAATGGCGTATATTCATCATTTATATATCAAATTAAAGCTAATTTTTTCTGTGCATGATAAAATACCTCTACCTATGTAAAAGTGGCCCCAATGGAAAGAAAAGAAGGAAAGAATATAATATTATATGTCATTTGTCAGACAATAACAACGGTTACCATGGCAAAGACAGATTAAAGTGAAAGAGAGTTAGCGCGTTAGTTATCTGTTTATTTTTGCAGTGGATCTCCATCCATTAGCTGCATTCCTTTTACAAACTGAGAGTTGTGACATACGGGATGAAATCTTTAGCTATTTTTGTTCTGTAAAGAAGTATAACTTCTTACGTGCGTACATAAGTACACACACGCGTTTTTTTATCTTGATATTGTTGCTTTTCCTTAAATATAATGTATTATAGGTAATCGTCTAAACTTTTTGACTGGCATGAAAAGTAAAATTGCTCAATTATGGACTTAGCGGAACGAATTAGGCCTACGATATGCCATGCCGATAAAACTACGATAGCCTGGCAAAATGAATATGCCTAGTCATCTAAGAACTGATTTTGAACAACCTAATTATTATATTAAGTATTATTATTATAGTGCTTTGAAAATATTTTGAGCTGAATTTGTATTGGAGTCATTTTGTGCCTTTTTAAAAGTGTTTTAGTACAAAATTACCAACATCGCAATATTGATGTAATAAAATAATTTGTTTTATCATATAGTAAATGTGGATATTATAAGCTTTGCCTGTAGGATTTGTATGAAAATGAATTCTAAATATTCTCGTTTAAGCGTCTCCGATATTAGGATAGAATCATCATCATGTATAAAACAAATAAAGTAGATAAGGGTTATTTACCTTCTTTTATTTACAGTCCTGACATAAATTATACCTTTAATGTAATAATAGTGTTTATTTGTGGATGATTCTTTATGTTTATTATCGGGTTGGAGCTATAGTTTAGATAAAAAAATATGTTATATAAGTGTATACATATTGACGATTAGTATATAATAGATAGACTGTGTACTGTTATATACATATATTATTTTTTTCTAACTTAAACTTGACGTATTTTTGTAGATGGTGGGTCCACCACTATTGAAAGTAATCCGAAGTAGTGATTCCCATACAAAATAACCAGTTCTGAACTTGAAAAAGGACACCGTTTTATTAGAAGTACTTCATACTGCACTTTTTTTGCAAACGGACGGAAACAATCCTACTTCACACAGTAATTTATCAAAGTTTATTTCAAAAGTAAAGTATGACGGCTAATGAATCGATATTTATATTATAAATGTGAAAGTAATACTTTCTGTCCCATTGTTAGCTTATCAGGCATAAACCGCTATACGGATTTCTATAAATAGCACATTGACCTCATGAGGATGGGCATAGGATACCTTACTGCTTATCAAGAGGCAAAAACTAGTAATTTACATGTCCGTTAAAATTTCAGTCAATATGCTCTAATAATTTCAATGTAATGCACAATAACTCACAACAATTAATGAGATTTCGGAAGCTTTGTACCACAGGTTGTGTATGAAATGAAGGAAGAAGTTTATGCTGTCTGATATAATAATATACATAATATAGAGTTTATCTTATTATTGTTATAATGTTAAACTGATACTTAAGAGTCTGCCTCGGTAACTGCCTCGGTGGTGTAGTGGCTAGCATGTTCAGCTGCACACTCGGAGTTTCTGGGTTCGAGTCCCGGGTCGGGCCAAGTTTAGTTATTGAGTCTTTCTGTATAGTCTCAGTAACAGCCCGGAGTTGGGAAGTTGGCGGTGTTTCACCCCCGTGCCTCGGAGAGCACGTAAAGCCGTCGGTCTCACCGGTCGTGTCGAGCAGTCGTCCCACCGGAGTATGAGTGACAGGAATAGGGAGTGCACTTGTGTCTGCGTGTATATTTGTGCACTATAATAT